CTTGATAGAATAAAGATTTTAAAAAACTTAATTGTTAAAGCAGTATACATTAGCTTATGCTGTTGCGGCAGAAATGCAAAAAATTTACAAAAATGAATTGGGCCCTGAACCAGTGCCATTAACTGTTCCTGGAGAAGCTATTGCTGAAGAAGATGTGAGTGCCATTCTCTTCATTTATGTAATTACTGAACTACGAAAATTTAGGTAATCTTTTAATATATGTGTAACTCGATTTGTTTCTTTTAAATTTTCATATCTTTTAAAGATTTAATATGAGTAAAGATAATTCTCATTAATAACTTTCAAATAAATATCTGTCCAAATATGTTACTAACTAACACGGTTATTTTCATATCTTTTCTGATTTGATATTAATAAAGACAATTTCCTTTAATAACTTTCAAAAAACATAGCTTTCCAAATATATAACTAACTAACTAACGGTGTATTTGATTTAAATTTTCATATCTTTTCTGTTTTGATATTAGTAAAGAAAAGGGGGTTTGGTTTTGGTTCAATTTAATGTTCTCATGTGATCCGCTGCACACTTCTCTTGCCATGTTTGTTTGGTATTGGTGCTCTTTGCTGTGAATTTTCTCGGTAGAATAACCCCATTGTTCCCTGAAGTTTGTCTTCTTTTCAGATCCTATATGGGTGGTTTCTTCTGTTATGCTCTTCTTTTTTGTTTATTGCTCATTCTGTAGCCTCTGCTTGGATGCTGAGAAATTCCTCAGATGTGGTATATGGTTGATACATAACAATGCCTTTGCTTATTGACCCTGATATGCCATTTTTTTCTTTAAAAAAATTGTGATATAACCTCAAATCACAGATGGTATAGATTTTGCAGTTGTAAGATATGCTCTTCTTGAAGCAGTGACAAGTTAATTCAAATAATGTCAATTACTTTTTAAAAGAGGAACTAATTTTCATTTGTCATTCATAATTCTTTTAGAAATAACGAAAAAAATAAAATATCTCTGTTACTGTTTAACTACTTGGTTATTACCCCCCTCACCCACCAACCCCCCACACATCATTACTTCTAAGGCTTCCTGGTTTGCAGAATATCATCCTAGAGAATGACTAAATTTATTATTTGATGTGCAGGCCCCAGTGGACCCTACTGATCAAGGTGTTGATGCCATTCCCCACTCTACTGCAGCCCCAAATTGGACAATTAATGTTTCAGATGCAAGGTAGAAATTGTTACAGAGTAAATTGGTTAACATTATGATAGTAGAACACATTATCCAGGCCATATTATGTTTCCAGTGTATGTGTCTGCATCCCTTTCACAGTAAAACTTTCGCCAATAGCAGAAGCAGCATTGGAAAACTAACACTAGATATTACAATTTTTTTAAGATATTCTAAATCCATACATGCATAGAGGACTCAAACTGACTCTAGGAAGACTAATTTCAGTTTCATTTGACAAAATGTGTCTGCTGATTTTGATAATTTTTTGGTTATTTTGGTTAATCATTAAAAGCAATTCTTTTATCTGTACTATGCCCTGCTGCCCTTGTTGTTATTTGTTTCATGCCAATTTTTTGGGAAATAACTTTCAAATAACATAGCTTTCCAAATATATAACTAACTAACAAGGTATATAACTTTGCCTGTGATATGATCAGAAATGTGTTGGATCAAGATTATCAGAGAGGATCATGTTATAGTACTTAGTCTACTCTGCTGGATTTGTTACATTAACACACTATTATAAGGAATGCCTTAAGAAACCATGCTTAGCTGCATGTTTTCATTGTTATGGCAATACTATTTTTCCCTTTGATTGAGAGCATACAGTATCAGTGTTGGTTCTAGACCTGTGTTATTATGTGCTTAACTCATTATTCGCTTTTCACCATGATGAACTGATTCGGTTAATGGCTTTTTTCTCATCTTGGCCATGTCCGCTAGCGATTGTTTAGTTATGTAATCATATAAGTTAAATTAATGATGACAAGTACTCATGCCATTTATATTGCTGCTTTTCAATTTTCAAGTAACACACTAACTCATTGATTCTCCAGTACAACCTTTCCTCGTGGCTTATTGAGTCTTTCTTCATTTGCTTTATCTTGTGAGCTCTGCAGAAAACAGTCATTAGGCTTTTGTATCTTGCTCATTTTCCCAAATTTCTTTCACTTAATTCCATCATTGCTGCCTTGATTAAAATATGAACTATTTTTTTCATTTGTTATTCATAATTCTTTCAGAAATAATGAAAAAATAAAAATCTCCTTTTCTGTTTAACTAATTGGTTATTCGTCTTTTTCCCCACATATCATTGCTTCTTAGGCTTCCTGGTTTACAGAATATCATCCTAGAAAATACCTAAATTTATTATTTTATGTGCCGACCCCGGTAGACCCTACAGATCAAGGTGTTGATGCTATTCTCCGATATGTAGCTACCCCATATTGGACAATTAATGTAAGGAAGAAATTGTTACATAATAACATTGGTTATTGTTATGATAGCAGAACACATGATCCAGGAATCCATATTATGTTTTCAGTATTATGCTTGCATGCCTGTCACAGTAGCAGCATTGGAAAACTATTACTATATATTACAAATTTTTCAAGATATTCTAAATCCATGATGTCATGGAGGACACAAACTGACTCTAAGAAGACTAATTTCAGTTTCATTTGACAAAATGTGTCTGCTGATTTTGAGAATTTTTTTGGTTATTTTGGTTAATTCTTCAAAACAATTGTTTTATCTGAACTGTGCCCCACTGCCCTTGTTGATACTGTGAAAGGAAAGGAACCGTTGATGAATTGGCACAGATACTCTATGAGGTGCCTTCAGAAGTTCGTGTTCATTCAGGTGATGATAGTAAGTTGAGAAGTATTTGACTTGAGCTGACTCACATTCCTTGACACGCTTACAAGTACATTTGGATTGGTTTAGTTTGCTTAGTTGTAGTCTGATTTCACTCTTCAGTTGCTTCAAGTTTATTGTATGGATGATAAGTCTTGTGAATTGTTCTCATGATATAGTTGTCTGACAGAACTGATTCTTAATTATGGATCAACATTCATGAAAAATGATTAATATTTTTATTAGTTTCTATATTTTTCTTTTCTTCTTCACACACTTCTTTAGAGTTTAAACATAAACAGTTTGAACTTGTCTTACTTATAGCAAAAGACAAAAAGAACGAACCAATGATCCCAGTCGTTTCATAAATGAAGTTTTCTTCTTGATTTGGTGCTTAATGTTCTTCATGGATAAAACAGTGCTGCTCTGTTTCAATGACAACATTTTTTTAACGTTATTAAAAATTAAATTTTAAAATATACGTAAGAAAAATTAATCCTATTTATTTTTCTCACAAGGACATTTATGTTATTTAAATTTAATTTAATTTTATACAATAGAATGTGATTTCATTTTAAAATTACCATTTTTAAAAGTAGGAATGCTCCTTTACATTTTATTTTTTTAATGTTTCATGTATCAAATGTGATGCAAGTCATCAATATATGTTTTTTTATAAATAATTTAAGAGATTGAGAAATTGTTTCCTTTTAAAGCAAAAGATTAATATTTAATTTTAAAATATTATATGAATAGATAATTGATACAAATTATTTTTTAAACCTATAAAATTTACATGTAGAACATTTTGTTAAACACGTTAAGATCAGTAATTCCTTGCAAGTGCATAGTGAGATTGGAAACTCTTCCAAACCTTGAATTGAAGCATGAGTAATGTTATTTCATACAAAACATTTTTCACAATTATTATTAAGAATGATATGATACTACTCAGGTTTGGGAGGTTTGGGGTTAGAGACAGCAGAAGAAAAATATACCATCATAATATTCGGCATTTTTCTTGAAATGATTATTCATTATGATCTATTCCTTAATTTTTGTAAAAGAAAAACACGTTAAGATTCCGTAAGCTTAGCATTAATAAATAAGAAATTTTGCGAATAAACTATTGGAATTACACCTTAAAAATAATGACGAAACTCAATTTAAAATTTGGGAATTTAAGAAGTAGTAAACTAAGCTATGGTACTTAAAATTTCAATTTATCATTATAATTTTATGTTTTTATAAAAAAAAATTATCAAAATAGTTTTACCAATATTTCAAATGATTTTATTATTTTTTATTATTTTTTGTTATAATTTTAAGTTTTATAATTTTTTATTTCCTTTTAAATTTTTATATAAAATTTCAATTTTAATTACCTTGAATTAAATTAGGAAATAAGGGCCTGTTTGGTGTGATGTACAAGGGATAGTATAAGTTTATACTATACGTTATAACATTTTCAATTGTTTGGTGTGACTATCGTATAGTATAAGCTTGTACAGTAGGACCTTTTTATATACCAAAATGATGTATAACTTAATTTGGCCTAGGAGTGATGGATTAAGCCTGATAAGGGGTTGATATATTAATATTAATTACAAGTACAATTTCCAAGAACTAATATATCATTTCAATATTTATATATTAAAATAATTTTTTTTAATATATTAATTTTTAAAATATCGGAGGATATTATCTTATACAATATCATACCAAATACTGGATAGTATTAAAATTTAATCAAATCTTATACTATCGGGCGAAATCCCATACTATCCATCAAACATGAACTAATACAACTAATATGGTCCACCATTTAAAAAAAAAACACAAATGACAATGTATATGTAGAAACTTTACTTTTGTCCTACTACATAACAAATGAAAAACCCCTAAACTATTAAGGGTTTTATAAGAGTTATGTTGTAGGAAAAGTGATTGTGTTATGTTATAGAGATTCGTTTTGCGTGCCGAAATTTTTTTTTTTTTTTTTGCTGCGGGTCCCACAAAATGTTGTGTGTGTAGGAAAATTTTTGTGGTCATGTTAAATGATAGATGATAAACCCAACTATTAATCACGGAAAGTAAAAGGGGGGAAAACGATTTTAGGGTACTGAATTAAAAGTGGTACTGAGTTGAGTTGGGTTAGGGCAGTGAGAGAGGATCGAGGGTTGTTGATGTTGTTGAATTGAAAGGGGGAAATGGGTTTGTCTTCAAATGAATCGATAGAATTATGCATATTTGATTTGAGGAGAGGGCAACACGAAGGTCAAGAGCTCGACAAGATCTTGTTCTTCTTCCCCGCGGGTTTGCCTTTCTCTAAGCAACTTTCTGTTATTGGCCTCAGTGAAGGACTCATCACTTTTACAAGGTTCTCTCTCTCTCTATATCTATATATCTATTTCTATTGTATTGTCAATTCCACATTAATTGATTGAATTGATTCATTTATGTGCTTAAATTGTAGAATTTTCTCTCCAGAGGCTGCTTGCGAGGTCATCGAAGCAGAAAGACATTCTCATGTTTTTTATGAGGCCGAACCTGATATATGGATCGTCATGGTCTGTCACTTATTTCTTTCGATTTATTGAATATCCTGTGTGTAATTTCCTTTAATATATATATGCAGTTATTGCATTGTAGGTAGTGGAGAAATGCAATGATTCAGAACCTATATGGAGAGATGATGCATTAAGAAAAGTTCTCAAGGAAATTCACTCACTTTTTGTAATGTTTCATGGATCTATAAGAGCAATGCTGGAGAAAGAACCTGGTGGGGGACTAATAAGACGTCATTTGTATTCCTTTATCATGGATTATCTAAGGGGTAAGTCATCATATGAGAGCATGTCTATGAAATTGATAAATTATGATTCAAAATATTTCATTGTAAGTCATAATTGTCAGCATGTAAAAAGCCGTCTCCGTGGGATAATTGCTGCTGTGGTAATGGTGAAGTTGCTGTATCAAATGGTTTCCTTTGGATCTGTGTGCTACCTGACTGATGATGCTGATGAAGTAAGCTGTGTCTCATACCTTAATTATGAATTTTTCTTTGTGAGGCAGATTTTCTTGTGGGGAAGAAGCTCCTTTTACCATCATTCCATGATTGCTTAAAGGAACGTGGAACTGTGCAGATGCTGACAATAGGTCGGGAGGCTGCGATAGAGGTTCAGGTTAGATAAGTTTTAAGTTTTGATATGAAAAAATTAGGACAACAGAGCTTCAGAATTTTTTAAGATGCAACTTTTAATTTTAAAGTTAGTTCACGCATCCACGTTATCTTGGGTGTACTGGGGATTTGTAATATCTCTATCTCTGTCTCTCTGCTCCACCCGTTCTCATCCTATTTTCTTGGTTGCTCATAGAGTCCTGTTTGCATTTATGCTGCTATGATTTTTTTTTTTATTTGATGTTGAACAGACTTTTGAGTTTAGGTCTGATTCATATTAACAAGGAAGAAACCTACAGTTTCAGGCATTCTTTAGTTGACTTTATCATGCAAATATATTAATTTCAATGAAACAAGGTGAAGTTATCTAATGAGTCACCTCATAGCACAAGTTTGATTTAGCTGTTGTAGGAAAGCTGTTATTGCTCATCAATGATTAGTTGATTAAGATGAAATTTGTTTGCTTATTTGCATGTAATGTATGTATTATGTAAGTGATTTTATGCTTTTTACGTGCTCCAATCTTTAAATGTTTATGCATTTTCATCCCTCACTTTGGATCCAGTGTCCACATAAGCTATAACTATCTTACAGCTATTTTGATGTAAAAGAAAGAAGTTTAGCTTGTAAGTGGAATTCCATTTTTGTTGATTTCTTCTTCTTTTGGCAGTCACTTGTCAGGGTGCTCGAATCTTCTGCTGGAAATACTGCCTGCTACTCTTTGATTTTATTTCAAGACCTGCTGGTGTCTACAACACTATCTCCTGTATGGTTTAACTTTCGTGTACAATTATGTTTTTTTTTTATGACCAAATTTGAATGAGAAAGCTGCTTGGTCATTCATTAAGTTGCTTATTAACCTTGACTGTTGATTCTTTTGTCAGGATGACACCATAAATTTATTCACATATGCTGTGCTAAGGTTGACCCCACATGCTCTATCTTCTGGAGCAAGTTCCTGGTCCTACTTGCGTAAAGCAAATACTGCATCCAATGTTGCCACTGAGTCTAACAGTGCCCATCCAAACTCTATATCTGAAAGTTTTTATGGCTCATCTGATTCATCCCCTGGAGAGGATAACCACTGTCATGTTGTGAGGCCCTTACAGAGTAACAAGTGGTCCAAAGGAAAAGATGGTTATCTTGTCACTGATTTATGGGGTGCTGAGGTTGGTACGTGGGTGTTTGCCACCCCAACAGTTTTGCTTGAACAGACAGGAGAGAGAATGTATCTCTGTGCTTATCAGCATAGAAACCTTACTTTGATGCTTCTTATTCCTGTATCCTCCATACCTAACGGGGAACAAGGTGTGTCAGCAGTGAAGCAGCAAGTTGTTGAAAATGTTAGTCTTCTATTATAGTGAATATTTTGTTTCCTAATGAATTCTCAAGAGCATTTACATATGTTATGAACTGATGCTTGGTGAAACAGAACATTCTGGTGTTTTCCATTGTTGTACGCTTGCTATAATCCACTGACTGGACCCCTGTTTGCTGTGGTGTTGTGCCTATACATGTCCCGGGGGGATTACTTGTTATCTTTTTCATTTCCTTTCCCTTTTACTGAAAAGAATACCCAAACATGGGAGAGTGAACAACTTTTTCATTTCCCTTCCTTTTGCCACATTCCTCTCAATCCAAGCATAGCCTTAATATTTCCTTGGTCTGATTCCTTTTTGACAACTCCTTAGTATTTACTATTTTTAAAGTGCTCATTTATTTTTTTGTTTTTGTCTGCTCCTGAATATTCATTACTGACCAGGATTCCAAGTTAATCTGCTTGATGATCTTGTAATCTTGTTCATTGACAATTCAAAATGGTTCTTAAGCTGAGAAGCGTATGAAATTTGCTCTGAGCATCATCTTTTTCTTTGTCGAATACATCAGGCATCACTTAAGATATTGAAAGTTGAAGAGAAACTATCCAAAGGATGGGGTGGTGAGAATGCATATCATGTCGGTGGGTACCGCTATTTATTAGTGGATGGCGATAGGAATGTATCCAGGGCTTCTCCAGCAAAGAAAGTTACAACTTTAACTAAGGTGTAGTGTTGGCATCAGGCTCAGTTATGATTTCCTTTTTCCTTTTTTTCTTTTTCTTTTATCATTATGTGATATCCATTTTATCAATTGAAAGATATGGCTTCTTATTCAAAATTCAACTTTACTCTAGAGGTCAAACTTCTAATGGCACTGCTTGGTGGTTGGCACTATAATGTACTTGTCACTACTGACTTTGAAACAGTTTAAACTTTGGTTCATTTTGTGTCTGTTGCAGGAGTCCTTACTTACTATGAACAAGCTTAGACAAGAGGTTGAGTTGGAGAAGAGTAGAGCAAAACTGGATAGCTGTTCTTGTGAGAAAGATCTAGAGGTGTGCATTAGAGCCAAAAATAATGCTTGGGTTATTTCTCGAGTCACAAGAGGAAAGGAGCTTTACATGGTTCTCGAGAAAGCCAATGAAACCCTTCTATATGCCTCAGATGCTGTCGAGAAGTTTAGCAACAGGTATCCCATTGGTTTCCTATCGTTAGTGCGCTTAACAGTGTACTTCCTATGCATAAATTATTATCCTTGTTAATGAGGACAACACAGAGTGAAAAAAAAAGCGGGAAGAGGATAAAACCTTCTAATCTTTCAGATTTCAAGTCAAGAACTTCTATTTTACCTAAGTGATAGATTTTCTTCCCTGGTTTTCTTTTCTTTTTCTTGCTGATAGTCATCATGCTTAAGCTTTTTGCCTGTACCTCCTCTCACCTTCATAAAAGAAGTGAAGAGAAGGGTGAAATCAAGGGATAAAACTTGGCAGACCTGAGTATCCCTAAACTGACTGAAAAAACGAATGGTAAGTTTCTTTTTTTGGTTGAATATTACAGGTATTGCAATGGAACCTTTTCACTGGACTGAGGGAACCCAAGTTGTGCGGACTGAGGAATAGCGCACTCAGCTGTCCTCTAATCTTGATTTCCCCAATAAAGTTGAAAACTTTTCCACTGTTTAATTCTTCTCACCCGTAAATTCGAGAAAATAGAAAGAATTCTACTGTGTTTATATGTCTCTGTATATTAATTGTAATTTTGTACTTATTCAAGGACTCCAAATAAAATCTTGTTAACAGTAACTAAAATTTTATCTGAAATTTAGCTTGATAACCTTGCATGAAAATCTATTGCGTGTAAGAATGGCGGAGACTAAATTAGTCAATATTAACAATAAATGCTAAAATCTCATTTAAAAGAAAAAAAAGAAAGTTAATTTAAATATCTTCAAATCAAAATGATTAAAGTTCAACTAGAAAATTTATAAAATAAAATAAAGATCCTCCCTCTAATTTTTACTAAAAATTAAATCGTGAAAAATGAATAAAATAAAAATTAAAATAACATTTTTGAATAAAATAAAACCGTAATTTTCAATGTAAACACAAATTGTAGAAATTAAATTCAATCTGTCTTTGGAAATCGACCCAAAAAGGTTTTGCCATAGAGTCATCATGTCTTCGAGAGGGGGAGGGGGTTTCCGCGCCAGGATTCCTGCCTTTTATCCGGAGGTGGTAAAGTGAATCATCCGTTGTCATGTCTCATCGTTAAAAAATAAGTCAACCCGTCTCGCCTTATTTTTTAAAGTGAGCTGAAAAACTGGGCCTGTCCTGCCATAAATAAATCAAGCATCTATCGAAGAGTGGCAAAAAAATTTATTTATTGCAATTTAATTAAATAATTACATATTTATTGCAGTTTTGAAAATAATTACGAATCTATTGCGCAATGTGACGCCTCATTTAAGCGTCTCTCACCAAGGGAAGACGCCCCAATGGGGCGTCTCTCATGAAGTGTTGACACGTGTCATTTCTCTATAAAAAAAAAAATTAATCATAAAATTTCTGAAGGTCATAACTTTTGACTCGGGTATCCAATTTAGGTAATTCTTTTTTTGATTCCACATAACTTTTCGAGATCTACGTAATGACATCTCATTTGATATATTTTACTTCTCACAAACATAATTTAAATTTGCAAGAATGGTATTATAAGAGCGTTTAAATCCACAAGCCTCTGAGTACTAGATTTGTGATTTAATATAAAAAAAATAATCCAATTTAGGTAATTCTTTTTTTGATTCCACATAACTTCTCGAGATCTACGCAATGACGTCTCATTTGATATATTTTATTTCTCACAAACATAATTTAAATTTGCAAGAATGGTATTATAAGAGCGTTTAAATCCACAAGCCTCTGAGTACTAGATTTGTGATTTAATATAAAAAAAATAATCCAATTTAGGTAATTCTTTTTTTGATTCCACATAACTTCTCGAGATCTACGCAATGACGTCTTATTTGATATATTTTATTTCTCACAAACATAATTTAAATTTGCAAGAATGGTATTATAAGAGCGTTTAAATCCACAATCCTCTGAGTACTAGATTTGTGATTTAATATAAAAAAAATAATCCAATTCAGGTAATTCTTTTTTTGATTCCACAAAACTTTTCGAGATCTAGCAATGACGTCTCATTTGATATATTTTATTTCTCACAAACATAATTTAAATTTGCAAGAATGGTATTATAAGATCGTTTAAATCCACAAGCCTCTTAGTACTAGATTTGTGATTTAATATAAAAAATAATCCAATTCAGGTAATTCTTTTTTTGATTCCACATAACTTTTCGAGATCTACGCAATGACATCTCATTTGATATATTTTATTTCTCACAAACATAATTTAAATTTGCAAGAATGGTATTATAAGAGCGTTTAAATCCACAAGCCTCTGAGTACTAGATTTGTGATTTAATATAAAAAAATAAAGATTTAGTTTGTGATTTAAATTTAAAAAAAAATCACATTTTTTAATTTTTAATATAAAAAATAAATAAAGTTTTGGTTTGTGATTTAAATTTAAAAAAATCTAAAAAATTATCATTAATAAGAAAAACAAAATAAAGATTTGATTTGTGACTTAAACTCAAAAATCAATTTGAAAAATCTGTATAATAAAAAAATAATTAAATAAATATTATAAATATCTAAGTAAGAAGGATTTTATTTTTGAAAACCATTCAGAAGCTATAATTTAAATGGCTTTAAAGAAAAAAGTCATAAAATAGAAGGATGTAACTTATGATACCGTATGATTCAAGATACGAAAAATCAACCAAACGATACACAATACGAATTTCGGTTCAATAACATTGTACACTATTTTTTTTTTCAAACACTTGGTTTTGGTGTGTTTGGTGTTGATTCGGAAAGAACTAAGAGACTTTTAGGTTTAAACGCTCGTATAGTACCATTCTTGCAAATTTAAATTATGTTTGTGAGAAATAAAATATATCAAATGAGATGTCATTACGTAGATCTCGAAAAGTTATGTGGAATCAAAAAAAGAATTACCTGAATTGGATACCCGAGTCAAAAGTTATGGCCTTCAGAAGTTTTATGATTAAATTATTATTTTTTTTTGGAGAGAAATGACACGTGTCAACACCTCATGAGAGACGCCCCATTGGAGCGTCTTCCCTTGGTGAGAGACGCCTAAATGAGGCGTAACATGTGACACCCAAAAAAGGCGTCACATTGTGCAATAGATCTGTAAATACTCCTCAAATTGTAATAAATACGTAATTATTTAATTAAATTACAATAAATAAATTTTTTTGCCATCGAAGAGTTATATCATGTTTTTCAGAAGAAGAAAAAATACAAAAAAACGATTATCAAAACAAAAATAAACGAACTTCTTATAGACATTAAATTTATATGGAGTTCAAAAATTTAAAACAAAATAAAAAACCATACCTAACAAATTAGACAATAAAGATGTGTATTGCTAAGTCATTTTTTATATAATTCCACTTTGAATTCTTACTTTTTCAATCAAAAGTCTTTCTTTGATATTATTTAACTTTTTTTGTTAATTTATCGATTCCCTTTAAATTTTTCTTCTTTATTTTTTTAAATAACTGAGACTTGAATACATAATTTAATATAACTTATCTAAACGCTTAATTATTAAACCAATCCTAGTGCCTTAGTTTAAATTTCTCTTTATACTAAGGAGTTGTCAAAAAGGAATCAGACCAAGGAAATATTAAGGCTATGCTTGGATTGAGAGGAATGTGGCAAAAGGAAGGGAAATGAAAAGTGAAAGTTGTTCACTCTCCCATGTTTGGGTATTCTTTTGAGTACTTTATGAAGATTTTCTAATTACTATCTATTACATAGAATATTATATAGAATATACAATAATCATAATAGAATTTAGAAAGAAGAATGAAAAAAATTCTTATAATATATAATAATTAAAATGATAATAAGACAAGATTTTTTTTGAAATAAAAATAAATAGGAAATTCCCCTTAAATAAAACAGAAAGATATTTTTAGAGAATGCTCGGGCATAAGCAGAAATAGACATCTTTATCTTTGTTAAATGAAATATCTAATGAATCATCGTACATGTCAAGTACATTTCCATTTGAATTGGTAATCCTGCCGACAAATATAAACGATTATTAACGAAATAGTCATCAAATCGTATTACTGTATGTAATTATGCATTCGCAAATTTTTTTTATCTCTTTTGTAAATGGTTCGGTTAATAATAAATAAAAATGGAACAGTTCAATCTTTGCACAATACTTCTAGTTTAAAGTAAAAAAGGGCCAATACCGAAATTCTCGGTAAATAAAAAATAGATTTAAAATAAAAATTTGAATTTTTATTTTAGACAAAGGGAAAAGAAATGAAAAAGGTAATAAGGAATAAAAGTCACATAAAAAACATGAGAATGTCTTTCTACTTCGATGACCTCGCAAGCAGAGACAAAATTCTGCAATTTAAGCACACAAATGAATCAATTCAATCAATTAATGTGGAATTGACAATACAATAGAAATGGATAGATAGATATAGAGAGAGAGAGAACCTTGTAAAAGTGATGAGTCCTTCACTGAGGCAAATAACAGAAAGTTGGTTAGAGAAAGGCAAACAAACCGGCGGGGAAGAAGAACAATATATCTTATCGAACCTTCGTGATGCCCTATCCTCAAATCAAATATGCATAATTCTATCTGATACAAAAATCAGAAAAGATACAAATAATTAAACCGTGTTAGTTAGTCATCGTATGTTTGGAAAGTTAGTTATGAGAATTATCTTAACTAATATTAAATCATAAAATATATGAAAAAGTCTATCTCCAAATATTCCACTTCTCATGAAAGCTTATCTCCAAAGGTTTATCGAAGATTCAATTTCTGATAATGGCATATCTCCAAATTCAAAATTAAAATTGAGATATGAACGTTTGATCACTTGTTGATTGTAACTAGGAATCGTTCACTATAAATAGAAGACAATTAAACCCCCTGCATTTACTTCACCGTAAATATTGATAGATAAAAACTGACACCTTTTGGCTGTTCCGCTCCAAACCCCTCCCTGCACCAGAAACCCTGCTTCCCTTGCTCTGTTTGCTTTGCTTTGCCACCGTGACTCAAAAGATGTCTTCCAAACCCTTCAGGCCTTGCTCTTTGGACGTACTTATATATGTCCTTGCACCACATTATTATAATGCAGAAGAACTGGGTATGATTGAGAGTTTCCAAGAACAGCAACACCAACTACTGCATCTCCAACATGAAGAAGAGGCCAGTACGTCAAAGTCAAAGCCAAAGCCAAAGCCAGAGAAAGAAATAACGGTGACCCCAAAAAGGCAGCGCAAAATGCATGACGAGGAGGAAAGGCCCACTCCCTCATGGGCCTCGTCAGTGAATAAAAAACCAAGAAACACAAAGAATGCAGCACCACCATCTTCATCTTCATCTTCATCTTCATCTTCATCTTCATCGCCGCAGTCACCACTGCCACCGTCACCACCGTCGTCACCATCGCCACCGCCACCAGTACCAGCACCACCATCTTCATCTTCATCTTCATCTTCATCGCCGCTGCCACCACCGGTTCTGCCTGATGAATTCAAGAACCGTATGAGAGAGTTAAACGGCAGCGACGTGCAATTTGTGATGAGGAAGAATCTCTCCAAGACAGATCTGAGCGCGAATCACAACCGTCTATCAATGCCGATGAAAGAAATACGTTGCGATTTCCTGACTGAGGCTGAGAAGGCAACATTGCAAGAGAGAGAAAGCTGTAAAGGAAGACTTCGGGGTGTTGAAGTGAAGGTGTTGGATCCATCTCTCAGGGAATATACTTTGATACTGAAGAGGTGGGAGATGACGAGCACGAGCATCTACTGTCTCATCAAAGACTGGAAAATCGTTCTCTCTCATAACAGTTTGCAAGAAGGAGACCAACTTCAAATATGGTCTTTCAGAGTGGATGGCAAATTATTTTTTGTATTAAATAAACTCTGAACAAATTTAAAGCACACAGCGACATAGACACGTCACTATTGTCTGTCTTAGGGAATATAATATTAGGGAATGGAATATAGGTGGTGCTCTGACAACGTAATATTGAAAAATTGTTCAAATTGAAATTTGGTTTGTATTTCTTTTTATTTCTTTTTTGTTATGTGAGGATCCCTAGCAAATAAATGTATTGGGATTCCATGTTTTCCTTGCTTATAATAAAGTGAGATCCTACTTTCATTCTTTACTATAGCTTTTCCTTGATCAGTTGACCTTTCGCAATCATAAATTTCTTTACCATCTTATTAAGATAATTTTTTATGAAAACCCTGTGATAACCCGTTAAATTAGTAACAAGTGTGAGTGAGAAACCTGAATCATCTTTACCTTAATTTTAGGCTATGATTAAAAATTAGTACAAATCTTTCCAACACATGTCTAGTCTACCAATTGGAGGTGAAGCTCTACTCCTCCCTCATGCATGTGCGTCACATGCCTCAGAAAAATACATCACCAATTTATCCTCATCTCCACTCTTGTTCCATCTTTAAACTAAACCGCCTTCTCCTCCTCCCATCCGTGGCATTCACCTCCCCTTTTCCACCAAGAAAGTTGTCAAACACACTATTTGATACATGAAATGTTAAAAATTATTTAACAAATGAATAAGCTAATTTGATAGGACCAGGCCATTCCAATTCTAAAGAATGATAAATCTTGGAATGAAATGACATTCTACTGTTTAAAATTAAATTATTTTTAAATAACATAAATATCCTTGTGAGAAAACTAAATAGGATTTGTTTTGTCTATGCATAGGGAATGGAATATAGGTGTCCTAGGCTTGTGCCTAGTGTGTTTTAGTTTTGTTGTTTTGTCTTTTACTTTCCTTTTGTTTAAAAAAAAAAAAATTGTATTTGTTTCTTTTTCTTTCTTTTTTTGTTATGTAGTGTTGGAAATAATCAAGTATGAGTTGTAAAGAAGTATCACATAGACTAGACATAGACCAAGTGATGACCATATAAGTGCAAAAGACCCATAAACCTACAGCCTTAAGATTTTGGGTTGAGATGTGGTGTCGGCCCACTTATTATGGTTTGTCATTTGGCCCATTGGTGGATGTACCCTTTGCAAAGGGTTTTGGGCTCCCTCGTTGCATTCCCAACAGTGGTATCAGAGCCAACGATCTGGGCCAAGTGTTTGGAAGGCCTCTGCAGAAGGCTAGTGTGACCTTAATATTTGAAAGAGAAAAAAAAGAGACTTCCGCAGAAGTTGCCCTTAGGGTAAGAATGATATTGGGCCTCACACTTGGGGGAAGATGTTGGAAATAATCAAGTATGAGTTGTAAAGAAGTATCACATAGACTAGATATAGACCAAGTGATGACCATATAAGTGCAAAAGACCCATAAACCTATAGCCTTAAGGTTTTGGGTTGAGATGTGGTGTCGGCCCACTTATTATGGTTTGTCATTTGGCCCATTGGTGGATGTACCCTTTGCAAAGGGTTTTGGGCTCCCTCGTTGCATTCCCAACATGTAGGTGATATATTAGGGAATATAGGTGACAAGAATGAAAAAAAAATCTTTTATTCCAGTTGATTTGAAAAATGATAACCGTTGATTGACGGAAATCATCGGTTAAGATGTGGTAGTAACATTGGTAGTAATATTATTTGGTTGTCGCAATATCCTATCTCATAATAATAATAAAGAATTTGGTTTGTATCTTTTATTTCAAGTTGTACTTTTTTAATAATGTAGCTGGTGCAGGATTTTTTGTGATGGAGTACTAAGAATAATAAGATAAATTAATTGGTGTAAATATTTTTTAGAGAATGATTGATTATTAACATTAATTATTTATTATTATAAAATAAATATCATTTTATAATTTATATATAATAATAATAAAATAATTAAAATTTAGGTAGAGAAAAACGCTATTCATCTATCCTAGATGCGCCCATTCTATTATGTGAGTCTCTCAGTGACTAGCAAATAAATGTATGAGAGAAGTTTTCTTATGTTAAGAAACAAATAAAGTGGATCCCACCCATTTTTAGAAGAAAAAAGAGAGGAATATTTTTCGAAATGAGAGTAACATGAGATAACAATCTTAATGCAACGTAAGAGTATGATTTCTGATAAATTTAATGTCTATAAGATGTTCGGTTTTATTTTGTCTTTTTTCTTTTGATTAACTTTTTTTTCTTCTGAAAAACATGATGTAACTCTTCAATAGATGTTTGATTTATTGATGTTAAGCTTTTAAAAAAAATGACTTTTTATGCATTACTTTTTTTAAAAAAAAATTCTAAAAAATAAAGTTATTTTACGTTTGGATGTATGAAGTGAAAATCACTATTATATAAAAAAGTTATTTGGAAGTTAAAATAAAAAAAAGAATTGTTATATATAAAATTACAATAAAGGAGAGATAAAATAACATGATAGGATGAGGTTAAAATTGTATTTTAAAAATTTATATTATCTTATTTCCAGAAAAAAAAATCATATCATCTTTTAATTTCTGTTTTTTTTTCAAAAGTAACCAACTATTGGCTAAAAAAAAGCAACATTTTAAATTTTACTTTTTTAAAAAGTTGTTATCCAAACATTTAAAAAAATTTAAAAAGACTTTTATTTTTTTAAAAAGCAATTTTTTTAGGAACAAAAACTCATTCAAACGGGCACTAAGGGCCCGATTGGATGAGCTTTTAAAAAAATAACTTTTTTTAAAAGGTAAAGTTATTTTACGTTTGGATATATGATATGAAAATTACTTTTACATAAAAAAATTGTTTAGATGTTAAAATAAAAAAAAACTTTTTATATATAAAATTACAATAAAAGATAGATAAAATAGCATGATCGTGGGATAAGGAAGGAGAGATAAAATAGCATGATCGTAGGCAAGGAAGCACGGACACTCCAAAAAATAGGGACCGACACGCTCCGACACGTTCTGACAAGGTGTCCGACACACGGTCAACATTCCCGACACGTTGACCATTTTGACACTCGAATTTGACTGTGTCCGACACGGTCAAATGGCATTTTCGTAAAAAAATTATTTTTTTTAAATTTTTTTAATTTAAAATATATTAATAAAGCTTCCACGTGATCATATCAATTTTATCTTTTTTGTCTTTTTCCCCTTAATAGATAAGAGATCATCTCAGCATCATTGTTGTCAATTCCTATTACGCTCTTGTTTTATCTTCATCTCTAATATGATTTGATCTCTCTATTTGATATTATCTCTCTCATCTCAGTTCCTATTTTTTTTATTAAAGCTTCCACCTTTATAACGTGTTGATGGGTATTATAATTTAGTTTCATTTTTTTGTTAAATTATTGAATAATAAATAAAATATACGCTATATAAATTAAAATTATTATTTAATATTAAAACGTTTCCCAACGTGTCGAAATCCATATTTTTTTAGGATTGACATGTCGGAGTGTCGTGTCACATGTCGCGTGTCGTATCGGTGCTACATAGATCGTGGGATAAGGAGAGATAAAATAGGTATGATAGGATAAAGTTAAAATTGTATTTTAAAAATTTATATTATCTTTTTTCCAAAAAAAAATTATATTATCTTTTAATTTCTGCTTTTTTTCAAAAGCAACCAACTACTCGCTATAAAAAATGCAGCATTTTAACTTTAATTTTAAATTTTGCTTTTTTAAAAAGTTGTTATCCAAATATCTTAAAATTCTCAAAAGAACTTTTATTTAAAAAAAAAAAGCAACTTTTTTAAGATATAAGCTCATCCAGACGGACACTAAATCTTTTTACGAGCAAAAGCACCCATGTAATAACATTTGCTAAATGTTACATAAGTTTTATAAGAGTTATGTCGTAGGAAAAGTGATTGTGTAATGTTATAAAAATTCGTTTTACGTGTCATAATTTTGTTTTTCTTCAAAAAGTGTGGACTCCACAGAATATTGTGTGTGTAAGAAAATTTGTTGTGTAATGTTAAATGACAAATGAAAACTCCATGTTACATACACTAAAAGGATCCCGTAGTAAGGTAGTCAGTGGCGTAAACACACTTGACGTGATTAGTGCCGTAAGACACCATTACGTGACTGGTTGACATATCAGCAATCAAAGTGGATCCCGTCAGTAGGTGAGACACCACTAATATCGTTAGATATCTCTACACGACTAATGCCGTCAGCAGGTGTGACGGCACTGCCTCCCATTGCTCATAACGCGCGAGCTGCTCTCTCGCTCCCAAACCCTCTTTCATTTGTTGCATTTCTTGTTCTCTTTATATAAAAATTTCCAGTGTGTCACCAAAGTTAAATGTCTACAACAGATATCCACTGTTTCACTTTATGTGACGATATTGTGCACATACTAGCCAACTTTTTTTTAAGTCTCTTGTTTTTTCTTAACTTAATTACAACTCGTTGAAAGGCTAACAAATCTTGTTTTCTTTATTTTGTTTCTTTGTTAAATTTTTTGTTATTTTATGCAGTTACTGTTATTGCAAAAAATTACTTTGCTGCTGGTGACTGGTCCACAGATTATGGGGAAAATAAAAAAATAAAAAATGGGATGTACTTTGAATTGTGTCTGCGGAAAGTAGTGATTGTGTGCAGTAAATGCAGAAAACAATTCCCCTTTCTTTTTAAGGAATAATTTTCTGCTGTTATTGCAGAAAATTACTTTGTTGCTGGTGACTCAAAGCATGTACGAAGTCCACAAATTATTAGGAAGAGAAAATATTGGACCTACTTTGAATTGTGTCAGCGGGAAGGAGTGATTGTCTGCAGTAACTGCAGAAAATAAATTCCCCCTTTTTTGGGAGAATAATTTTTTGCTGTAAAAAATTACTATGTTGCTAGGATCAATATAATCAAAATCGAGTTTTTACGTAAAAATGAAAAGAGGTAGTAGAAACGTAATTAGTAGAAACGAGATTGTTAAGAGTGTTAGTGTTAATAGTGTAGAAGTCCCACATCGAGTGTGTCTCTTTGTATT